TTAACTTTGTGTCTCTGCACAATTTTATTTATTTTTTGGTTTTGGGGAGGTAACATCTGGCAGTGTTCCTGGATCTGCATTCAGGAATCACTCTTGGCAGTGCTCGAAGCCCCCTAAGAGATGCCGGGTATCAAATCCAGGATGACCGCGTGCAAGGGAAGTGCCCTAATTTCCCCTCCTTTCCCCGCACCCCTACCCCATACTCCAGCTGGGTTTCTTATTTTTATTTGTTTATTTTGGCTTCGTGTGTCACACCCAGCGGTGCTCAGGGATTACTCCTAGCTCTGCACTCAGGAATTACTCCTGGCGGTGCTCGGGGGACCCAATGGGATGCTGGGAATCAAACCCAGGTTGGCTGTGTGTAAGGCAAATGCCCTCCCTGCTATACTATCACTCCAGCCCCAGGGTTTCCTGTTTTTAAACTAGTATTGGCAAGTTTCTCTAGACCTGTTTCTTTGGGGGCGGGGAGTGGCCAAGAATATTGTGCAGTGGACAAGTTCTTGTCCCACCTGTACATGCTCTCTGTTCCAGAGACAATCGCGTAGTGTGTCCACACTTGCAAATGTACGCTGGCTGACCACATTTTCCTGTTTCTTTCTACGCGTAACTTAGGGTTGGGGCATCTCTTTCATTTTTGCTATTGTGTCCCCTTCCTGCTTTGGTTGGTCCCTCTCCCCTGTCAACCGCAGTGACTCAAACCCTGGAAGCTGGGAGGCTGAGCCTTGGGCAGGAGGATACGCGTTCCTCAGCGCAGGCGCAGACGATGCTGCTAGGGACTAATAAGGTTCACAGGCGCTGGCGCAGGGAGATGCTTTCCCTCCCGCTCTGATGCACCCACCAAGATGGGCACTAATTAAGAAAACCATGGGCTGGAGCAATAGCACAGCAGGGAGGGCGTCTGCCTTGCATGTGGCCGACCCGGGTTCGATTCCCAGCATCCCATAGGGTCCCCTGAGCACCGCCAGGAGTGATTCCTGAGGGCAGAGCCAGGAGTAACCCCTAAGCATCCCCAGGTGTGACTCAAAAAGAAAAAAAAAAAAAAGGAAACCGTGATTCAGGGATGGAGAGATAGAGCATTCGTTAAGGCGCTTGCCTTGCATCCAGCTGACCCGGAATCTATCCCTGGCCCCATGTGGGATTTCCCCTAGCCCTGCCAGGAGTGATCCCTCAGCATAGAGCCAGAAATGGGCGCTGAGCACCACCCAGTGTGCCCCCTGCCCCCAGCACACACAGACCGCCACCCCGAGAAAAATAAAATTTGAGTTTTATGTTCATAAGCTAAACCAAACCCACGATTAATCATTTGTGTGTAGGGGTGAGGGAATAGGGGGCAGAGATACCCAGGGGTACCCGGGAGCTATTCACAGCTCAGTGACTGGAAGGTGGTCCCATGGGTGCTCAAAGGACCAACGTGAGGATCGAACCGGCCTCCTGCAGGCATTAACTCACTGAGTGATTCCCCAGGCCCAAGAATAATCATCTTTCTTCAAGAGTCACCTAGTGTTGATGATAAGAAAAAGAATTCTCTTTCACGAAAAAAGGCTCTCTTTTTTAAAATTTTTTGTTGGGGGGGGGGGGGGAGTCACACCTCAGACATGGCGGTGCACTGGGCTTCCTCCTGGCTCTGCACTCAGGAATCACTCCTGGTGGGGTTCCTACTCTACAGGATGCTGGGGGTCGAACCCGGGTCAGCCGCATGCAAGGCAAGTGCCCTACCTGCTGTACCCTTGATGCAATTCCTGTGTGCGTGTGTGCGCATGTGTGAAGCAATATGCTTTTTTTTTAATTTTTAAATTATTTATTTGCTTTTGGGGGTCACACTCAACGATGCACAGGGGTTACTCCTGGCCCTGTGCTCAGGAGTTACTCCTGGCAGTGCTCAGGGGACCATATGGGATGCTATGAATTGAACCCAGGTCGGCCGCGTGCAAGGCCCTGCCCACTGTGTTATCGCTCCAGCCCAAGATAAGTTTTTATTGAAGCTTATTAAGGTGTGAGGGGAGAGAAAGAGATAAATATATGTTCAAGAGAGAAAGGTACGTGGCCAAGGGGCCGGGTCTCTCACGGGAGAACACCATTTGTGGAGCAACGCTTGACCCAAGACTTAAACTCCCGCTGTTCACAGCACTTCGGGGTTTCCCGGAGGCTGCTGGGTCGGCTGCACCTAAACCCAAGGCAACATTGCCACCTAGTGGCAGACTCCTCACACTGCAGCTCGAGACCAGCAATTCCATTAGTTCTAAGTACCAAATGCGAGATTCCTTGGTTTTTTGGTTTGGGGCCACACCCAGGGATGCTCTGGCTCTGCACTCGAGAATCACTCCTGGTGACGCACAGGGGATCATATGGGGTGCCAGGGATCAAGCCCCGGTCGGCGGCATGCCGAGGCCAGCGCCCTCCCGGTTGTGGTCTCTCTCCGGCCCTACAGCAAAGGCCCCTTGGGAGGCACACTGTCACCCTGTCTCAGGCCTTACCAAGACGCCGGAAAACCCGCCAAGTGCCCTGCAGTCATGAGACTTCAAGAATGAAAACAATCCTCATGTCGTTTCTGTTGCAGTAGTTCTTATGACCAGGTTTAAAATCCAACCACGGGGCTGGAGCGATAGCACAGCAGGTAGGGCGTCTGCCTTGCACGCGCCTGACCCGGGTTCCATTCCCAGCATCCCATACGGTGCCCTGAGCACCACCAGGGGTGACTCTGAGTGCAGAGCCAGGAGTATCCCCTGTGAATCGCTGGGTGTGACCCAAAAAGCAAAAATAAATAAAATCCAACCACCCATGGAGGGGTGGGGGTGGTGGGAGGGTTATTGGGAACATTGGTGGTGGAGAATGGGCACTGGTGGACGGATGGGTATCCGATCATTGTATGACTGAAATGTAATCATGAAATTTGGTAAGTCTGTAACTATCTCATGGTGATTCACTAAAAAATAATAAAAATAAAATCCAATGAACCAAATCTAGTCAGTGATCTGCTTTTCCACAACCCATAAGCTATCAAGTTTTTTTCCTTTTCTTTTTTTGGTGGGGGGGAGGGGTCATACCCAGTGGTGCTCAAGGATCACTCCTGGCGGTGCTCAGGGAATCCTATGTGGTGCTGAGGTCAAATATGTGCAGAATTGACAGGACACACATGCACACGCGCACATACACACACACACACACACACACACACACGCACCCCTTCCTTTACAAATAATGCCATGACTTTGAATGTTGTGGTAAATCTGCAAGGAATCGTAAGGCAGTCAGTAATTGATTTTATATCTCAACTCAATGTCAATTCTCTACTTGGCTTTGGGGCCACATGTGACAGTGCTCAGGGGTCAGGGATCACCCCTAGCAGGCTCAGCGGACAAAATGGGGCACTAGGGAAAGATGCCGGGTTGGCCAAATGCAAGGTGAATGCCCCCTCCCCCACTGTCCTATTGCTCCAGCCCTGGAAAACACACACACACACACACACAAAGACACATGGCTTCTTGGAATCTTATTTTTTCTAACTTCCTGGAATTTTCTTTTTAGGGGTGGGTGTTTGGTCCAGACCCAGCTGGGCCCAGGACTTGCTTTGTCACAGGCTTTAGAGACACAGGGAGTGAGAGGTAATGCCATCGGGGAAGGCTCGGGGACACCTAAGAGTCTTTCCCCTACCACCCAACACACCCCCCTCCCGCCCTTTCCACACTTTACCCTCCCCTGCCCGACTGGAGGCTCAGCCTGCAAGTCCCACCTAAGTTTTAAAGGAAGTTCATCACAGACTTTTAACTCCTAAGATAGATGAGACTGAAAAGAAAAGTGACAGAAGGCACCGTCAGAGTTAGCAGTGAGAGGCAGAGACAGTCAAGGAGACAGCTCAGAGCTCTGCACGCCAAAGCCCCAGGCTCGATCAGATCCCAGCCTGGGAGGGTCCCCAAGCACCAGGCTGGGAGCAGCTCTGTCAGAAGCCATCAAAGGAAGCCTGAAAAAGTTACTTTTTTCTTGTGCTTTTTGGGTCACACCCGGTCATGCTCAGGGGTTACTCTTGGCTCTACACACAGGAATTATTCCTGGCGGTGCTTGGGAGACCCTAGGGACGATGGGAGTCAAAACCGGGTCAGCCACGTACAAGGCAAAGGCCTTACCCACTGTGCTACCACTCTGGCCACTGACATCACTTTAAACCGCTGTGGGGCCCTGCTCCTTCTCCCACGGCGTCTGTTGAGACACTGCGCGAAACGGTGGAACTTGAATTTCACATTTATTCAGCTTCACAGCCGGGATTTACCGTTCCTCGAGCCAATCGACCCTTCTGATTGAGCTCTGATGGGGAGGGGGCCTCTTGCACGTTCCCCCGCCTCTCCCAAGACAGGACACAGGAATGCCGGCCTCGAAGCAGCTGGCTCTGCGCCCCAAGGGGCTCGCCGGGGGCACTCGCACTAGCCAGCAACCCCCTCACTGCCCACGACGTGCAGGAGGTGGGCCTGTCCTGGGACTCGCACTCGCCTCTCTGTGAAGAATGGCCCAGCACAAACAAAACTGATGTATGAGGTCAAGTAACTGAGGGGGTGGGGGGTGTTCACTCATACACACACACACACACACACACACACGGTCTTTCATTCATGTCATCGATCAAGACACACCAGGCTGATCAAGACACACAAGGTCGCGATCAAGTTACAAGGCCACAAGGCCGTGTCCTTCTTACACACACACACACACACACACACACACACACACACACACACACACACAGAGCCAGACCCGCCTCCCTCCCTCAGGGCCTTTCATTCATGTCATCGATCAAGACACACCAGGCTGATCAAGACACACAATGCCACCACGTCTTTCTCTCTCTCTCTTTCTCTCTCTCTCTCTCACACACACACACACACACACACACACACACACACACAGCCAGACCCGCCTCCCTCCCTCAGGGCCTTTCATTCATGTCATCGATCAAGACACACCAGGCTGATCAAGACACAATGCCACCACGTCCTTCTCTCTCTCTCTCTCTCTCTCTCTCTCTCTCTCTCTCTCACACACACACACACACACACACAGCCAGACCCGCCTCCCTCCCTCAGGGCCTTTCATTCATGTCGTCGATCAAGATACACAAGGCTGCGTCCTTCTCCAGGATCTGGTCCCGCCGGTGGCCGGCGCTGTCCCTCTGCGGGTCACTCTTGCCGGGCCCGCCGCCGCCACCACCACCACCACCACCGCCACCTCCGCCGCCACCACCGCCGCCCCCCTCCTCGGCCTCCATGGGCTCGGCCTTGACGCGCGCGCCGGCCTCGGCGGGGGCCAGGTCGTCGGGCAGCGAGGCCAGGCAGGTCTGGATCATCTCGACGACGCGCTCCAGGTGCTTCTGGAAGCGCTCGGCCGTCTCGAGGCGCTGGCGCTTCTGCACCTCCATCATGACGCGCAGCGTCTCGCGGGCCTGGTGGGGCCGGTACTCGTTGATGAGGTGGTGGACGTGCACGAAGAGCAGCTTGAGGTCCTCCAGCTTCTCCTCGCGCTTGAGGCTGCCGGGGCTGCGGATGAGGATGTCCAGCAGGTCCAGGAAGTTGACGAGGATGGACATGTTGAGCTTGCGCAGCTCCTTCTTGTGGTCGAACTGCAGCGGGTGCAGCCGCTCGATGCCCTGGCTCTCCAGCGGCCGGATGATGAGGTCGTCGCACTGGAACTGGTTGCCGAACATCATGTAGCTGTCCTTGACGGGCGGCGGGGGCTTGGGTGCCAGCCCCTCCTGCACGTTCTCGTCCGTGTACTCCTTGATGTACTGCATGGGCGGCGGGGGCAGGGCGCTCACCTGCTGGGGCTCCCCCATCGCGGCCGGCGGACGACGGACCTACGGGACAGACCCCAAGAGATTTTTTTCTTGTTTTACAATATTTTTTTTTACAATTTTTTTTTAAATTTTGTGGTTGACAGTCTTTCATGACATGTGATATTCGGACACCGATCCCACCACCTTGACACCTTCCCAGCACCGTATTTCGGATGTTTCCATCCCACACCCCAACCCCTGCCCCAAAGCAGAACCGAAATCGTATTTGGTATTGTTGGTCATGAAAAACCGCTGAAAACACGACAAGAAAAGTATCCTTCGGGGAAAGAGTGTGGAGGTTGTTGTATTTCACCCAGGGCCCATTAAGCCCTTCTATAAGAGGTAACATGTTGTTAAAGGTTTTAGCCTTCTGTGTGTGTGTGTGTATACATACATATACATATATATATCTGTAAAATAAAGTTGTATATTTCCCTCTAAGATTGGTTGCCTCCCACTTTTTTTTTTTTTTTTTTGCTTTTTGGGTCACACCCAGCAATGCTCAGGGGTTACTCCTGGCTTTGCACTCAGAAATTACTCCTGGCGGTGCTTGGGGGACCCTATGGGATGCCGGGGATTGAACCCGGGTCAGCCGCGTGCAAGGCAAACGCCCTACCCGCTATGCTATCACTCTGGCCCCTGCCTCCCACTTTGAACCCTATTAAATGCAGTGTGGTAATCTTGGAGTATGGGTAGGGTGTGCGGTTTGAAGCAGACCCAAGATTTAGCACGGGGATGCCAAAAGGTCCCATCATGGGCCACCAACTTCCCTTCTGGGGTTCCTTCTCTCCTTTTTTGGTTCTTCCCCTCTCCCCTCCCACCCCCCCACCCCCCCGCAGTTTGGGATCTAGGACCAAACCACCTCCTTAGTCTCTAAGGCTGCAATTACCGATGGCCGTCTGCTGCTATAAGTACTTTCTCCCTTGTGCCCAAGTCCCACGACAAGACAAAACTCCATCTGAGTGTGCAGACAACTGTGTCTGAGCCAGAGCAAGGCCCATGCACAGGGTGGTCAGCACGGGAGGCTCGGGGGCGGGGGAGGGCCAGACCCCCACACCCCACTACCGTCCAGGGATAGGTGGGAAACCGGGCCCTCATGCTACTGCTGCTGCAGGGCGTCAAGGACAATGATGAGCACAAACGACAAGCTTGGAGGCCACCACCAGACCCAGAGATCTGACTACAAAACCACACACAGAAATACACAGGAAACGCAGGGGGGCTAGAGGGACAGTATAGCAGGGAGGGCACTTGCTGTGCACACAGAGGACTGGGTTCAGTCCCCAGCATCCCCTGAGGCCCTCTAGGAGGGATTCCTGAGCACAGGACCAGGGTAACCCCCGAGCACTGCCTGGTGTGACCCAAAACTTAAAAAAGAAAGGATGGGGGTTGGATAAATGGGTAAGGCGTTTTCCTGGCACGCGGGTTTGAATCCCAGCATCCCATAGGGTCCCCTGAGCACCGCCAGGGGTAATTCCTAAGTGCAGAGGCAGGAGGAACCCCTGAGCATTGCCGGGTGTGACCCAAAAGGCAAAAAAAAAAAGGATGGAAGACTGGTTAAGAGGACCCCAGCTAAGCTACATGCTTGAGTGATGGTTGAGAAAATTCAAAATGGTGATGGGAAGGTGTAATGGTGGTGGGATCGACGTTGGAATATTGAATGTAATAAATTATTGTGAACTTTATGATTATAAACTTTATAAAAATAAAATTAAATTAAAAAAAAAAGAGTCCAGCTTTCTAGTAGAAAACTCTTCATAAGCTAACAAGGGCCAGCACTGGAAAAATTAGTTTCTTTCGGAAGCGGGGTGGGGCATGCCCATTAGTGCTCAGGGGACCATACAGTGGTGAGGACTGAACCACGGCTGGCTGTGGACAGGCACCCAGACCCCTTGTCCCACTTCTCTGACCCTACTTTAATTTTCTTTTTTTAACATCTCTTTTCCAACTCCATCTCCACTAGAAGGAAAGCACAATCGTTTCCAGACATGATGCCCGAAGACACACAGTTCCTCCTCCAGACCCCCCAAACCAGGCCTGAGAGGCGCCCCAGAGAACTGTATTTGCTGGTGCTGCAATCTGACCCATATCTGGGGTGCTGGGGGTGAGAACCCCAGCTCCCACACGCAGGGTCTGTGCTCCACACACGTTCCCCACCCATGAACGGATTTCCTCTCAATAAAAAATGGAGGAAATGCAAATGTGAAATAAAGTTGGGAAATTATTCAGACCAACACACTTGTTCATATCTGAGTGTTGCTCGGGCGTAACTCCTGACTGTGCTCCAGGGATCACTCCTGGCAGGGCTCAGGGGACCATATGGAGTGCTGGGAATTGAACGCCGAGTCAGCGACCTGCTGGACTATGGCTCCAGCCCGATGAATACACTTTCATCAGCAAATCTGAAGGGGACCATTTAGCTCAGCGACTGAGAGGGCTCCAGCTCCCCATCAGCCTTCAAACCCTGCATACCTCCCGTGGAGGGTTCCAGATGTCCTTCCAGATGGACAGCGTCCACTCACTCTGGAACCCACAGAAGCCAACCCACCTACCCTTCGGGAGGTGGGGGGGTCAGTATACTGCCCTGCCCAAGTCCCACACACACACACACACACACACACACACACACACACACCCCTACCTGATGGTAAAGGAAAACAAAGATTCACAGGCGCCAGAGTGGACGGCACCCCAAGGTTGGAAGCTGATGCCACAGAGGCACTGTCCTGGATGGACCACTGCTGGACAGAGCAGGCACAGCTGGAAATAAACCCAGAACTTCCAGGAGGAGGGCTGGATAAATCGACCCCGTGTGGAAGGGTACACTGGAGGGTGAACACTGGTGGGGGGGGGGGGAAGGAGAGGTAGCCCAGATGCAGACAAAGTTGTCTTCCAAACTACTAATCCCCGACTCCCCATTTCTCCCACCTGCAGCAGTGGCAGCAGGAAGCACAGGGTGCTACGGCTCCGTTCGCTCTTCTCAGCACCCAAGGAAAAGCCCTGGATGCCCTCTGGACCACTCGCTCTCACTTCCTCCGCAGACCCCCAGAGCTGAGACCAGGACATACCAGATCCTAACCAACACCTGATCCAAAACTTGCTTTAAGGGTGGGCAGGGTGCCCCTCTGTAGGCGAGTGCCCAGGGTTCTCGGGTGATTTTCAAGATTCCCCCCCCCTTTTTTTTTTTGCTTTTTGGGTCACACCCAGCGATGCACAGGGGTTACTCCTGGCTCTGCACTCAGGAATTACCCCTGGCGGTGCTCAGGGGACCCTATGGGATACTGGGAATCGAACCCGGGTTGGCCGCGTGAAAAGCGAATGCCCTACCCGCTGTACTATTGCTCCAGCCCCTGATCCCCCATTTTGGGGGTTGGGGGGTTAACATCAGGTGTTGCTAGGGGGTGGGGGCACCTCTTTTCACTTTTATGCAAAACCAAATTTGCAGAGGAAAATGATACTGATTTGACTTGCCTGGCCTTCACCCTGAGGCTCTCACATGTCCACCCCTGCCCTCACCAGCCTCAGTGGTCCCAACCGTCCCCCCATTCTCCTCCAGCCCCCAGACCTAAGCCTGAGTCCCCTCCCCCTGCCCGACCGTGCAGGAGGCGTGGCTTCATGAAAGTAGGCGTGGCTTCACGAAGGCAACCTGAGCCTGGTTGACGGGGGCGTGGCCGCGCGCGAGTAGGTGTGGCTTCGCGAAAGCGGCCTGAGTCTGGTTGGCAGGGGCGTGGCCGCAGGCAAGTAGGCGTGGCTTCGCGAAAGCCGCCTCAGTCTGGCCGGTAGGGGCGTGGCTTCGTGGTAGTGGGCGTGACCTCATCGACGGGGCGGGGCTTCCCGCGCGCCCACCCTAAGGACCCCAGTTCCCCGCAGGAGACCGGCTGGACGTTCCAGGGCCCTCCGAGTGGCCACCTCTCGGGCCTCCCGGCGCCTTCCCCGGCCTCAGCCCCCGCTCCAAGCTCCACCTCAAGAGCGGCTCAGGGGGAGAGACACCCCCCCTCACTTTCGAGACCCCCGACGGGACACTCCGCCCCACGCGCGCCCGCGGGTCTCCCGTGGGCCCCGGTCGAGACGCGCCGGGGCTCGGCCAAGTCGCCCCGTCCCCCGCCCACTCACCGCAGCTCCCGTTTTACTCCGCAAGCCGCCGCCTCCGCCACCGCCGCCGCCGCCCAAACGCGACTTCCGGCCGGCGCCGCCGCCTCCCGGAAGGAGGCCTCCGCGCCGCGCCCCTCGATTGGCTGCAAGAGCTGTCCTTTAGACGAGCCTCTAGTCCCACCTCCGCCGGCCGCGGGCTGGCTAGTGCGCCTGCGCACCTTCTCCCAACCCGGCTTTCTAGTTGCTGGCGGCCCCTGGGGTGGCAGTTGCTGGGGTGACGGTGAGCGCTGCTCTATCCCCACAGTGACAAGTAATTCAAAGGGTTAGAGGACAGAGCAGTTGCCTTGCACACGGTCGATCCCCGAGCACCGCCAGGAGTGCTTAGGAAGCATCGCGGGGCGTGGCCAGGAAAACAAAAATAAAGAAAATGACAATGCAATAAAAACACTGTTACCCTGTAACGGAATTAAGTTCCTGGAAGCAGCGAGTTCTTTCTCTCAGTCTTTTTAATTGCTTTTAATTTTTTTAAATTATTTTTGGTTTGGGGGCCGTACCTGGCAGGGATCAGGCTTTGTGCTCAGGTTGCTCCTGGGTCTCTCAGGGGTCATGTGACACAGCAGTCAGACCTGGGCCGCACACACATGCAGATGTATACCCACCTGTTGAGCCGGTACACAGCTTGGGTGATTGGCTGGTTTTTGACAATGCCAGAAATTAAACCCAGGACCTGCAAGGCAAGTCTCTTTACTGCTGAGTCACATCCACAGCGCATCAACCAGTTCTGTTCTGTTCTTTCTTTCTTTCTTTCTTTCTTTCTTTCTTTCTTTTTCTTTCTTTCTTTCTTTCTTCTTTCTTTTTCTTTTTTATTTCTTCCTTCTCCTTTTTCTTTTCTCCTCCTCCTCCTTCCTTCTCCTCCTCCTCTTCCACTTCTTCCTTCTCCTTTCATCTTCTCTTTCCCTGCCTCCCCTTCTTTTCCTCTTCTTTCTTTCTTTCTTTCTTTCTTTCTTCTTTCTTTTTCTTTTTTATTTCTTCCTTCTCCTTTTTCTTTTCTCCTCCTCCTCCTTCCTTCTCCTCCTCCTCTTCCACTTCTTCCTTCTCCTTTCATCTTCTTTCCCTGCCTCCCCTTCTTTTCCTCTTCTTTCTTCTTTCTTTCTTTCTTTCTTTCTTTCTTTCTTTCTTTTTCTTTCTTTTTCTTTCCTTCCATCCTTTCCTTCCTTCTTTCTTCCTTCCATTCGTTCTTTGTTTTTTTTTCCTTTCTTTTCCTCCCTTTCTCTTTTTTTTTGGGTGGGGGGCTACATCCAACAGTGCTCAGAGCCTAGTCCTGGCTCTGTTTTCAAGGATCACTCCTGGCAAGGCCTGGGGACCCTATGGGGCTCCGGGAATTGAACCCAGATCAGCCATGTGCTAGGCAAATGCCTTACCCACTGCATTATCTTTCCAGCCCCCATGACTCTTCTTCAAAATCAGACTTCAAGGTTTCTTTGGAAGGTTATTTTTCTAGTAAGTTGCAGATTAAACCTGTTCTGAGAAAGGCTCTCAACTTTACCTGTCTATATATTGGGCCACACCCAGCAGTGCTCAGGGGCTCTTCCCTGCCTTTTTGCTCAGGAAAGCCCCCCCTCCCCACGGTGCCAGGTCAGCAGGATGCAAAAGCATGTACCTCAACCCCTGTACTATCTCTCTCCATCCCAATAAACGCACTGTCCCTTGTCCTTACTTGTCCCTTGTCACTCCACCCACTGCCCTGTTTCAAGTCCTAATCACCATCTCGCTGTTGTCTCGGGTAAGGACCACCCTTTGTCACTCACCACAAGTGCCACACCCCCGACCTGAGCTGCAGGGACCCCTTTCCAGCCTTGCCTGCTTATGCCCTTCCTGCCACAGTAGACGGCAGCATTGCCCTGCAATTTGGAAACCACCTACCCCCCAAACCCCCCCAAGCAGACATTTCTCCATCTCTCAGAAAGACATAGCGTGTCCTAGTGAGGGACACTGCCACTTAAATCCTCCCAAAAGATCTCTGTCACTATCACTGTCCTCCCACTGTTCATAGATTTGCTCGAGTGGGCCCAGTAACGTCTCCATGGTGAGACTTGTTACTCTGTTTGGCATATCGAATACGTCACGGGTAGCTCACCAGGCTTTGCTGTGCGGGCGAGATACTCTTGGTAGCTTGCCGGGCTCTCCGAGAAGGGCGGAAGAATCGAACTCTGGTTAGCCATGTCAGCTGCGTGCAAGGCAAACGCCCTACCTGCTGTGTTATTGCTCCAGCCCTCCCAAAAGATAAGTCAACCCTTTTGAATTATTTTCAGTTTGTGTTGGTGGGGGGGCCTTGCCCGGTGATGCTCAGGGGTTACTTCTGGCTCAACACACTCAGGAATCACTCCTGGTGGTGCTCAGGGGACCCAGGCCGGCCACATGTAAAGCAAGCGCCCTCCCCCACAATCTTCTTTCTCTGGCGGCTGCATTATGTGTTGTCGCTGTTACTGGGGTTAAGTCTACATTAACATGACGGTGAGGGCTGGAGCGATAGCACAGCGAGTAGGGAGTTTGCCTTGCACACGGCCGACCCGGGTTTGATTCCCAGCATCCCATAGGGTCCCCTGAGCACCGCCAGGAGTAATTCCTCAGTGCATGAGCCAGGAGTAACCCCCGAGCATCTCTGGGTGTGACCCAAAAAGAAAAAAAATCACATGACTGTGCAATTTCATCAAAGAAACAGGAGTAGGGGCTGAGCTGGAGAGAATAAAGTAGGTAGGGCCTTGCACGTGGCTGACCCAAGTTCGATTCCCAGTACCCCAAAGGAACACACCCCCTCCCCCTGTCCGCCACTGCCTGAGTCCACCAGGAGTGATCTCTGAGTAAAGAGCCTGGAGGAAGCCCTGAGCATTGCTGAGTGTGACCCAAAACAAAAGTGCAGACTCAGTCCATTGTTATTGTATGGCCAGACACCTTCCCCGACCTCCCAGTCCCACCTGGCCTGGCCCGGGCCCACTCCTTGTCTTCCCATTGTACTCATCCCCCACCCCTTACAACTCACCACTGTCCCCTCCATCCAAGGCGCCCCTTCCTTCTTCTCTAGGTCATGGCAAACCCTTCTTCTTTTTTTTTAATGTAGGAGAACTGCTATTTATTCAGTCATTGATTAAGCTGATTGAATTGGGCATGAAGTCCACATTACTTTTTTTTTTTAATTTAATTGGATATCCATGAGAGACTGGAGCAATAGCACAGCAGGTCGGGAGTTTTCCTTGCATCTGGCCGACCAGGGTTCAATCCCCAGCATCCCATAGGGTCCCCTGAGCACCGCCAGGAGTGATTCCTGAGTGCATGAGCCAGGATAACCCCTGTGCTTCGTCGGGTGTGACCCAAAAAGAAAAATTGGATATCCAGGAGATAGACCATTACAAAGCTGTTCAGATTGGGTTTCAGTCATACAATGACCCAGCACCCATCCCTCCACCAGTGCACATCTCCCACCACCAATATCCCCCATTTCCCTACCACCCCCATTTCCCCAGCCCCCCCCACCCCCTACCCCCAGCCTCCCTATAAGGGAGGCACTCTCCTTGCTCTCTCTCTCTCTCTCTCTCCTTTTCCTTTTATGCATGATGGCAAACCCATTTTGCGGGGTGGTGATGGTTTGGGTTAGAGACAGTGGTGCTCAGTGCTTACTCCTGACGGGGCATAAAGGGATGGATAGTATTTATTTATTTGCTTTTGGAGTCACACCCGGTGATGCACAGGGGTTACTCCTGGCTCTGCACTCAGGAATTACTCCTGGCGGTGCTCGAGGGACCCTATGGGATGCTGGAGATTGAACCCGGGTCGGCCAGATGCAAGGCAAACACCTACCGGCTGTACTATAACTCCAGTCCTGGGAATGGATAGTATAATGGGGAGGGTACAAAGCAAGCACTCCATCCACTGGACCCCCCCCCCCCCATAGTTTAGCCCTGCGTGATCCTGTTCTGCTGTCGGCTGGCCGTTCCATTCTCACCTTCTGGATGATGCATGTGCCCCTGGACACAACCCCAGCCACTGGCTCATTGCCTTGTCCATGATTGCTCCTGTATCTTCTCGTCCAAGAAGACGGACTTCTCCTTGGGGTCCACTGGCCTGATGCCCTCACCAGCACCCCCAGCTGTGTGGCACACGTACACCAGGGGCAGCCCTGGGTCAAGCTACAAGCCCAGAAGGTGCCTGGCACCCCACTGGGCTTGGCGCTTCTGTGTCCACTGGGGGTCCACTCCAATGCGGGTCTGCCCGGCGATGCCCCCCCATGCTGCATAGAATGGGCTCCTGGGAAAGCAGCCCCTTGGGGTGCAGGCTGGGGGGCGCAGCCAAGAAGGATAAAGCAGCAGATTATTATTTATTATTATTATTTATTATTATTATTTATTATTATTATTTATTATTATTATTTATTATTATTATTGGGCTGGAGTGATAGCATAGCAGGTAGGGCGTTTGCCTTGCATGCAGCCGACCTGGCCGACCCGAGTTCGATTCCTCTGCCCCTCTCGGAGAGCCCGGCAAGCTACCGAGAGTATCTCACCTGCACGGCAAAGCCTGGCAAGCTACCCGTGACATACTCGATATGCCAAACACAGTAACAAAAAGTCTCACAATGGAGACGTTACTGGGCCCGCTCGAGCAAATCAATGAACGAGAGGCTAGTGCTAGTTGTTATTATTATTATTATTATTATTATTCTGGGCTGCCGTGGCCAGAATAACGAATGCAGCATCGGGGTAAGTGAATAAGAGGGTGCAGAGTCCCAGGATTTGGGGAGAGTTCTGCTCTTCCACAGGACCTTTTGGTTTTTTTTTTTTGGGGGGGGGGTTGTCATACCCGGCGATGCTCAGGGGTTATTCCTGGTTCTGCACTCAGGAATTACTCCTGGTGGTGCTCAGGGTCCAGATCATATGGGATGGTGGGGATCGAACCCAAGTCAGCCACATGCAAGACAAACGCCCTACCCTCTGTGCTATCACTCCGGCCCCCACAGGACCTTTTGGATCACTAAAGATGGGGCGCTCACTCTCCGTCTCCTGAGCTCCCCCATCCCAGAACACGGGGCCTACAAGCTTGGTTTTAACCTCCCCACGAACCATGGGAGGGGGTGGGGGGTTTCTAACTCTGGACCCCCCTGGAATGCTTCCCCCAAAGGTCACTGCTCCTCTCCTTCCTCCCCTCCCCACCCTGACCCCACACATACATATTCTCTAGAGAAGAAAAGTCTCCACTTTCTCCCAACAACCCCACTTTTCGATGTGTTCTTTTTTGGGGGGGAGCTCACCCAGTGGTGCTCAAGCTCTGGGATCACTAGAGGGACTCAGGGGACCCTCTAGGGGTGCCTAGAAGTGAACCCGGGTCGGCTGTGTACAAGGACACTCCCTCCTGGCTGTCCTATCGCTCCAGGCCCCGGAAACCCCACCTCTATCTTAGGGCAATAAGGTTGATATGAAGGAGGGACCGGAGCAATTGTCCAGCGGGGAGGCACCTGCCTTGCACACGGCTGACCTGGGTTCGATCCCCGGCATCCCATAGGGTCCCACAAGCACTGCCAGGAGTAATTCCTGAGTACAGAGCCAGGAGTCACCCCTGAGCACTGCTGGGTGTGACCCCCCCCAAAAAAAAAGGTTGATATGGAGGAGAGATAAGTAAAGAATTACAATACTGCGCTCTCTCTCTCTCTCTCTCTCTCTCTCTCTCTCTCTCTCTCTCTCTCTCTCTCTCTCTCTCTCCTGGAACGTTAGTCCAGTGGGGAGAGCATTTGCCTTGCACACGGCTGACCAGGGTTCAATCCCTGGCATCCCATAAACAACAAAACAAAAAAACCACAGCTCTCAGAAGGAAGCCCTGAGCATCACTGGGGTGATGCATAAAACAAAACAAACAACGAAACAAACCACTGCCCTCATTTCTGTGCAGCCAGCCCCTAGCATCTGCTGAGTGTATATCTGCTGATCATGGCATAATTTTCACACATAAGCAATGCAGACGCCACTTACTTAAAATTGAGCAGAGCCAGAATGATAGTTGGGCACTTGCTTTTTCTTCCCATGGGGTCCCCTGAGCCCCTCCAGGAGTGATTTTTGAGCACAGAACCAGGAGTCATCCCTGAGCACTGCCAGGTGTGACCCCAAAACGAAGCAAAACAAAATAAATATAATTGAGCAGAACTTTTTTTTTATTCCCTTTTACAATTTTTTTCTGGGGGCCACTCTTGATAATGCTCTGGGGTTATTCCCAGCTCTGCATTCAGAAATTACTCCTGGAAGTGCTCAGGGGACCCAGGAGGACCCAGGGGTTGGATACCAGGAATCCAACCTGAGTTGGCCACATGCAAGGCAAGCACCCTACTCATTGTACTACTTCCCCCCCAATTTTTATTTTATTTTTTGCTTTTTGGGTCACACCCGGCAATGCACAGGGGTTACTCCTGGCTCATGCACTCAGGTATCACTCCTGGCAGTGCTCAGGGGACCCTATGGGATGCTGGGGATCGAACCCGGGTTGGCCGCATGCAAGGCAAACGCCCTACCCACTATGCTATCACTCCAGCCCTCCCCCCAAATTTTTAAAATAATCAATACAGGGATAGTACAGGGATTAGTTAAGGTGCTTGCATGCTTTGCTTGAGGCAGACTCCTGTTCAATTAACAGCTCCCCAGAGGGTCCCTCCAAGCACCACCAGGAGTGATCCCTGAGCACTGAAGCCAGAGAGAGCCCTGCGCACAGTCAGTGGTCTAAATACAAACGCAACATTTATAATCCCAAATGTATTGTTGTTTTTCCCTTTATATTTTATTGTGCTCAGGGTTTACTCCTGACTCTGTGCTTCAGAATCACTGAGCACAATATTCCAGGATTTCGATGTCCCAGATAAATCTGTCCCACAAAGCTCTCCAGGTATCCTGGGGTGGGTTTGCCAGGGAGTAGCCCATGAGGGTAAAACTGGGAAGCATAACTCTGGGGTGGACCAGGGTCCATTACTGGGCTCTGCGTGAACCCAGTTATAGGCCACTCACAGTGCAGGCCTAGAGGACAGCATAGAAGGCGCCTGGGTCATGGACTTGTACCCCCACACACACTCACACACACACTCATACACCCACATACCCACAAACACACACATACACACACTCACAAACACATACACTCTCACAGTACGCCCACAAACACATACTCATACTCACAAACACATACACACATACTCACTCACCGACATAGACACACACATATACACACTCACACATACTCACAAACACATACACACATACACTCATAAACATACACACACTCAAAAAATACACTCACAAACACATACACACATATTCACTCACAGATATATACACACACAAACACATACACACACACTCACAAACACATACTCACAAATGCACACACTCACATATACTCACACTCACAAACACACACATACTCACAAACACATACACACTCACAAACACATACACACACTCACACGTACACTCACAGACACATACACACATACCCTCACCAACATACTTACAAACACATATATACACACTCACACACATTCACACACACCACACACCTAGTTTCGAAACTTTATGCATTTATTTTTGGCTTAGGGGCTGTACCCAGCAGTACTCAGGGCTTACTCCTGGTTCTGTGCCCAGGGATCACCCTGGCGGGGTTCAGGGGACCATCTGGGGTTTTTCACATGCACAGCAAGCTCCCTGCCCACTGTACTATCGCTCCAGCCCCTATACACACACACCTTTTAATACACAAGCAGCCATAGACAATGTAGAAATAAACGCAACAGAATTAACACTCTGGATGCCAGTTCCTGGTTAAAATCACCAACTTCAGGGGCCTGAGAGATAGTACAGTGTTTTTTTAGGGGTGTATTTATTGGGGGTCCCACCCGGTGATGCACAGGGGTTACTCCTGGCTCTGCACCCAGGAATTACTCCTGGCGATGCTCAGGGAATTGAACCCGGGTCAGCTGCATGCAAGGCAAACGCTCTACACGCTGTGCTATCACTCCAGCTTTAAGATAGTATATCGAGGAGGGTGCTGGTCTTGCATGCAGCCGACCTGGGTTCAGTTCCCGGCATCCCATGGTTCTCCGAGCACTGTCAGGAGTGATCCTTGAGCACAGAGCCAGGATTAACCCGAGCATCACCTGTCTTCCTCCTCAGCTCTCCCTGTAGCCTGTCTCCCCCAAATCCCAACTTCACAACCGGTTCTTTTCCTTTTACCAGGTGAGGCTTGGGGATGATACTCAGAGTAGTGTTCCCAGGATCACCACCCCCAGGAGTGCTTGGCATCATGGGGGGAGGGGAGGCGGGACTTGTGCAATGCTGGGGATCAAACCCACAAGTTTTGCGCCCAGAGCCTGCGGTTCCCCATCCCAACCCTTTGACCCAGTTCCCCACACTTTTTTCTTATTAAACTAGTTTTTGGTTTGAGGCCACGCCCAGCATGTTCAAGACTTACTCCCGTCTCTGTGCTCTGGCATCACTCCCGGTGGAGCTCGGGGGATGCTATAGAGTGCTGGGAATCGAACCTGGGTTGGCCATATGCCAGGCAAGCAAGCGCCCTAGCTGCTGTACTACCAATCTACCCCTGTCCCCCAAACTTGACATATTTTTCTTTTTGGTTCACACCCAGCAATGCTCAGGGGTTACTCCTGGCTCTGCACTCAGGAATTACTCCCGGTGGTGCTTGGGGAATACTATGGGATGCTGGGGATTGAACCCAGGTCGGCTGCATGCAAGGCAAATGCCCTCCCCGCTGTGCTATCATTCCGGCCCAAACTTGACATATTCTTTGTCTACAAAAGCTGTTGTGCCCCTTCGTACCCTCCCAGACTTCCTTGGGTCTAGGGACTGAAAGATGATGATGAATGGGAGGATCTCCCGGGAAGAGAGCGGGGAATCCAAAGGGAAATGGAGACGATGGAGCCATAGTCTAGCAGAGAGGGTACTTGCCTTGCCTTGCACGCGGCTGACCTGGGTTCAATTCCCAGCATCTCGTAGGGCCCCCCGAGCCCCGCCAGGAGTAAGTAATTCCTGAGTGCATGAGCCAGGAGTAACTCCTGTGCATCACCAGGTGTGACCCAAAAAGCAAAAAAAAAAAAGGGGGGGAGGGGTGGGAGTGGAAGGTAGAGTCTTTGGGGAAGTCAAAGACAACCCCTGCTGGAGCAATAGTACAGTGGGTAGGGCGTTTGCTTTGCGCATGGTCAACCTGGGTTCGATTCCCGGCATCCCATAAGAGCCTCCAAGCACCACCAGGAGTAATTCCTGAGTGCAAAAGCCAGGAGTAAGCCCTGAGCATCACTGGGTGTGATGCAAAAAAAAAAAAAAAAAAAAAAAAGACAACCCCTGTGCATGGTGGGGGTGGGGGTGGGGGAGGGGGGTGGGGGGAGGAGCGGGCTGGGGCTCTGTTTACCTGGACGCTGGTGTTTCCAGGCCAGCAGCCTCAGGGGACCGGGGCACCAGCAGGGAAGGCGCCTGAGGCGGGCGTGGAGTGGTAGGTTCCCTTTATTAAAGACAGCTTAGGATGGATTCTCGAGGGACACATTCCCGGAGCCCCGTTTCTGCGGTCGCCTCCTGCCCCGGGGCTCGGGTCTAAGCGGATTTGGTTTCGATGATGATGGTCTCCCTGGTCTCGGAGGTCATGATGCTAGAGATGTCCACCCCCTCACCCTCGGCCGACTGCTCCAGCTTGGCCTCTATATTGTGCTTCTCCACCGTCTCGGTCATGATGTCCACGGCCCGGTCCGAGGTGGCCCGGAAGTTCTTGAAGAAAGAGCTGATCTTGCTGGGCTTCTTGCTCAGTGTGCTGGAGCTGGCCTCGGTGGACTGGCTGTTGCTCCCCTTCTGCGAGGACCCCGATTCCTTGACGGAGCCCCGGTGGTGACCCTTCCTGGAGCTCCCTCGCCTCCGACTGACCCCCTGCCCTCTGTCCTTGCCTTCTCGCCGGCTGCCCCGGGTGGACGCGGAGCGATGGGAGGACGACCTGTGGGACACCCGGCGGGACGACGAGGTCTTGTGCTTGGCTTTGTCCGAGCGCGAGCGGTGGTGACCCTCTCTGGACTTGGGCGGGTGGGGCCGGCTCTTTCTGGAGGGACTTCGCTCCTTCTTCTCCTTCTCCTTCTTCTCCCTCTTCTCCCTCTTCTCCCTCTTCTCCTTGGGGTCCTCCGTGCTGGACACGGGGGTCTTCTGGCTTCCATCCCGCTCGCTCATGTACCCTTCGCTCTGCAGAGTGGACACCAGGGGCGGCAAGGTGGTGTCAGGCGGGGAACTGGTGGTGATGGCAGCGGCAGGCACGGTGGCGTCTCCCTTGATGTGGGGCTCCTTGGCGGGGGTCCCCGCCTTGCCCTTGTTCCGCGAGGTCTTCCCTTGAGTCTGTTTGCTGGTTCTGGCGGCCACGGCCATGCTGGTGGTCTCGGTGGACATCGCCAGGGCCCCCGTGATGGACTGAAAGGCGTTCGGCTCGCCGGGGCCTGAGGAGGACAGGCCGGCCGCCGCCAGGTTGTTCTGGCCCGCCTTGCTGCTAGTAGCCAGGGACATGCCCCCACCGCCGCCGCTGGTGCTCCCCACGAAGGCCAGGCTCCCGGGCAAGGAGGTCTCCGTGTTGGGAGTGGGGCTGGAGACAGACGCCGAGGGTGGGCCGCCCGCCGCCGCTGCCGCCACCGTGGTGGGCTGGATGCCCTCGCCCCCTGCGAAGCCCGATGAGGAGAGGCCGCGGACATCCCGGGTTCTGTGATGTTTCAGCTCGTGCTGGTCACCTTCTCCTTGCAGATCCGAGACCTGGGCAAGAGGGGATGGTGCGGGGTAGGGGGGAGGGCGCTGAGTCACGGCGGGGCGTGCTGGGGTAGGTCTGGGGCAGGGGGGACAGTGCAGGGGCAGGTGGACTGTCCCTCTGTTCTCCCTCCCGCCTTCTCCACTGTCCCCCGAAGCATCTGTGATCAGGAGAAACTTGGAGGGGTTCCAAGTCCCCAAGGGGTGTGTGTGTGTGTGTGTGTGTGTGTGTGTGTGTGTTCCACACCTGGTGGTCCTCAGGGCTTACTCCTGGCTCTATCAGGCCCTGGCAATGCTCCAGGGACCTTATGGGGCCCCAAGGATTGAACCCAGGTCAAGAATATGCAAGGCAAGTGCCCTCCCAATTGTTCTATTTCTCTGACGCAATCCCTGATCCAATCTCATAGGCCTGCCTGGTACCAGAAAAATCACCCAGAAACGGTCCCCACATAGTCGAGTCTGCATTTGATGTAGCATGCTTAGATTTCTCTTTTTTGGGGGGTGGGGGGGAGTAGGGTTGCATATCTAGTAGAATTCAGGGGCTATTCCCAGCTCTGTGCTCAGAAGCGGCCCCATCGGTACTCAGGATTCTAACCAGGGCTGGGAAGATGCAAGGCAAGTGCCTTCACCCCTTGGCCATCTCTGCATCCCGGCTTTCTCAGAGACCCAGTTCCAACAAGCAGGTCAGCAACAGGGCGCAGAAACCCGGGCCGTGGCGGGGGGAGAAACCAGGCGGGTATGTTCGCCCTTGAGTTGCTTGTGGGACAATGGCCACAGTCCCCAGGGAGAAGACTGCGTGGGGGACAGTCCTAGACTGGGAGACCAATGCCTGGAGGCCAGCTGGGGAAGCCCAGACCCCCACCCCTCCACTGATTCTGCACTACACTGTGGCACTGTCCTCCCGTTGTTCATCGATTTGCTCGAGCGGGCCCAGTAACATCTCCATTGTGAGAGCTGTTGTTACTGTGTTTGGCATATCGAATTCACCACAGGGAGCTTGTCAGGCTTTGCCATGCAGGCGAGATACTCTCGGTAGCTTGCCGGGCTCTCCGAGAGGGGCGGAGGAATCGAACCCAGGTCAGCTGGGTTGACCACGTGCAAGGCAAATGCCCTACCCGCTGTCAACTCTTTTTTTTTAAGTTTGTTTATTTGGGGTGGGGGGGAGAGAGGAAGGAAGTACAGCAGGTGGGACTCAGGGCTAACTCCTGGCTCTGCACTCAGGGTGAGCTTGGGGGACCCTAGGGGATGCTGGGGATCGAACCCAGGTCAGACACGTGCAAGGCAAACACCCTCCCCTTGTGCTATGACTCCAGCCCCTCTGCGTCAATCTTCTCTCCAACTTTCTTTCCATCCTGTAAATCCCCCCTCAGCCTACAGCTGGCCCCTAGTTTTTACACCGATGCCTCACAGCCCCTAGCTTCATACTGAGACCCCAGTATGGGTACAATTTTCACCTGGAATCTATTGGGGGGTCCCAGAAAGGGGTGACATGGGGGCCCCCGATTACAAAATCCTAGTCTAGAGAGCAGACTCTGTGTGTGGGGGGGGGGGTGTGAGTGAGTGTGTGTGTGTGTGTGTGTGTGTGTGTGTGTGTGTGTGTGTGTAGCACCAGAGAGAGACGGAACAGGAACAGGAAAGCAGGCTCTTTTCTGCGAGTGCCACCAACCTAGGTTCGATCCCCAAGCATCGCAATCGGGTCCCCCAGGCCAACCCTGCCAGGGTCAGCCCCGAGCGGCCAGTACTGGGGACCTCCCTGAGTGGGGGGTCTGGCCCACCTGACCTCAAGCCATTCCCCACAGCCCCCCTCTCGTCTCCCCTGCTCCCCACCACGGCCAACCCTCCCACCCCTCCACCCCCCACCCCCGAAACCATCCCAACGGCCGCACACCAGCAGGGACTTGTCCTCCTCCGTGGTCGTGTCCGCCGTCTGCAGGGTCGGGGTGCTGCTGCAGCTCTCCATGGGGGGTCGGAGCAGGTAGACGAGCTTCTCCCAGTAGCAGAAGAGGTCCTCGCGGGCGTCCGAGGACGGGCAGAGCTGCAGGTAGAAGGTGCGACCCGTGGCCAGCTTGAGGCGCAGCTGCTGCTTCTGGCGGTCATGGATGGAGATCTTGACGAACTTCAGCGGCAGCAGCCGGGTGAGCTCCAGGGTCTTGACGGACTTGCGGCCCCTCCCCTTGGCGGGCCGGGGCGGGTGGGCTCGGGGCAGGTGGTCGTCGCACATCTTGGCGGGCCGGGCCAGCAGCATGACGTCGGGCAGCGGGAGGATGGGGCTGGTGGAGGCGATGCCCACGGTGACCATGCGCACGCGGTTGTGCACGTCGATCACCTCCCCTTTCTTGCTGATCTGGATGAAGTCGCTCTCGAACATGGGCGCGTACTTGAAGATGTCGTACTCCCCGCCTCGGTACAGCTGCCGCTGCAGGTCGCCCATGGAGGTGTTGAAGACGCCCATGGACCGGTAGTTGTGGGCCGTGTAGTAAGGCAGGAGGCACTCGCTGCTGCTGCTCATGGCTCCGCGGGCTGCGAGCGGGTCAGCTCCGCCGGCCATGAATCGCGTCCCCGGAGAGAGAGAGAAGGGGCAGAGGCAGCTGCCCACCCCTCCGCAGGGCTCTGTCTAAGGCCCCCTCCCCGCCAGGCCCTCCCCTTTATCCTGCACGGCCCTTTGTGACCTGTCGTGCCCAGCACACACACCCCTTTGTGGCCAGCCTGGGGGCTGTCCCTCCTCCCCCCCACCCCACCTCTTCAACCACCACCCTGCGCTCAAGCTTCCAGAAGTCCCCGTGAATCTGTCTGCAGGGGCTCGGAGGCCACTCCTGGTCACCCAAGGCTGAGCGTGAGGACAAAACTGATGCTGTGACAGGCCGCAGCTAACATTAAGTTTTTCTTTTTCTTTTTGGGTCACACCCGGTGATGCTCAAGGGTTACTCCTGGCGGTGCTCGGGGGACCATATGGGATGCTGGGAATCGAACCTGTGTTGGCCATGTTGGCTGCGTGCAAGGCAAACGCCCTCCCCATTGTGCTATCGCTCCAGCCCCATGTTTTTTTTTCTTTAATATTTTTAATTTTGGGGGGTCACACCCGGTGAGGCACAGGGGTTACTCCTAACTTTGCACTCAGGAATTACTCTTAGCAGTGCTTGGGGGACCTTATGGGATGCTGGGAATCAAAGCAGGGTCGGCCACGTGCAAGGCAAACGCCCTCCCCGCTGTGCTATTGCTGAGCCCACTAACATTACGGTGTTTTTGTTTTTTTTTTTCTTCACTTTTTGGGTCACACCCAGCTATTCTCAGGGGTTACTCCTGGCTCTGCACTCGGGAATTACTCTTGGCAGTGCTCAGGGGACCCTATGGGATGCTGGGAATCGAACCCGGGTCGCCCACATGCAAGGCAAATGCCCTCCCCACTGTGCTATCGCTCCAGCCCCCTTACATTAAGTTTTGATGCGGCTTAAGTTTTTGTTTCCCAGAAACTGAACTTGCAATTTCTGGTAAACTTCCAGTTGAGTCACCTGCCCCAAGAACTGCTAGCTCCTCTGACTGGTCATGAGGGGTCACTATGTGCATTTTTTTTGGAACCACAAACTGACTGTTATCAAATGTTGACAAATCGCTGACCACGGTTGGCTTCATCACTGTTATCCGAGTACTCGCTCAACCTTGAACCCTAGATAAGCTGCTCATGACTTGGAGTCGGAGTCCTTGTCAAGACTCCACTGCGTTGGGTGAGACTTAGACCCTAGCTCGAGCTAGCATTAAAGTTCCTTTGCTTTTGCATTATAGTGTGTGTGGACGTGATCTCTCCACAACTGGGGATGTGAAATTCGGGCCCACCACGAGGAAAATAATTCTGCTCTGGGCTGAATCCAGCTTGGCGGGGAGGGGCGGGGGCATGTTTACCTGCAGGAATGAACTGAGACCCTCCAATGCTGGAGCCGGGCATGCAACCCAGGGTTGCCCCTGAAGGGTGGTGGGGAGTCCTGGGGGGTTGGGGGAAGTCTTCGGGGGAGGGGTGGGGGCCAACCAGACCCTCAATCCAGCGTGTATCTCAGGATGGGGATGGAGATCCTGTTTTTTGGGGGGTTTTTTGTTTGTTTTTTGGGTTACACCCGATGATGCTCAGGGGTTACTCCTGGTTCTGCACTGAGGAATTACTCCTGGCGGTACTTGGGGGACCCTACAGATGCTGGGAATTGAAACCGGGTCGGCTGTGTGCAAGGCAAACGCCCTACCTGCTATATTACTGCTCTAGCCCTGGGGACCCCGTTTTTTGTTTTTTTTTTAATTTTTTTTTTAAATTTATTTATTTATTGAATCACTGTGGGAAAAGTTACAGAGCTTTCGGGTTTAGGTCTCAGTCATGTAGATACCGAACACATTTCCCTTTACCAATACTCATTTTTAACCCCGAACCCCAATAGACCCCCACCTCCCACCCCTCCCAATTCTTGTGAGGCAGATGAGTTCTAGTTAATACTCTATCTACTTTGACTAGATAGATTATTTCGATAGAAGATGCACAATTATTGTTTAGAGTTTACGACCCACCCCCCACAATCAGACATGCTGAAACAGCGTTGTGAAATGATTTGCTTTCTACAACTTGGTTTAAGAATAAAATGATGTCGCGCGGTTTTGAATTTCTGCTATTTTACTAATTGACCCTGGAAGAATTTCTATTAAAAGTTAGCTAGTTAAGAGATTGGTTTCTGTGCCCTGGAGTCGTGGCCGTGCCGGAGAGCCGCTCGTGGGGGGCAGCTGGTGACCTCGGTGGGGCGTGGGGGACGGCCCACAAAGCCCCCCTTCCCATGAGGTCCCCGCCGCTCCCCCGAGCCCGGCTCAAACCTGCTTTCCACAAGGCTCCCGTGCGGCCGCCTTCTTTCTTTCCCTGGGGACCCCGTTTTGAGGGAAGTTCTGTTTTGTGTTCCAGACCTGGCATGCCTGGGAAGAATTGGGAAAGCCTGGAACTCTGAAGGAGAAGGTTACTTCTCTCCCGGGGCTGGGAACGCCAATTCTCCCATTTCTATCTTCACCTCCCCCTGGTGCAAAGGCACATCCTTGGGGGGCTCATTCTGTAGTAACCAGTGACTACAGGGGTCAGCGGCGACAGGCGGGAGACACCGGGCTTCTCAGAAGGCGTGAATCACGGTGGGAGTCCCCCCCTTCCTGCCACGCATGACCCCGCGGAGTTTGCTCTGCTCTGAGGTTTACGTGATTCACGGCTAGGTGGAAGGTTTCTCTGAAAAGCTCTTTCAGAGAATGTTCTTCTGCTGGTTTCTTTTGTTGGTTTCTCCAGCTTCTTCTGGAACTGTTCTTCTGTTGGGTTTCTGTGTTTTTATTTTAAAGATAGCACACAGAACCGAATTCCCCCTCCCCTGCTTCGAAACTTTGAAGGATGTTTTCAACCACTTGAAACCTTTCAAACGATGTGGAGATCTCCAAGTAAATTTGTGGCCCCAAAATCTTTTTTGGGCCACACCCAGTGACGCTCAGGGGTTACGCCTGGCTCTATGCTCAGGAATCACTTCTGGTGAAGCTCAGGAGACCCTATGGGGTGCCAGGGATTGAACTTGGGCCAGCCACCATGCAAGGTAAGTGCCCTCCCCACTGGATGATCGCTCCAGACCCATCACAAAGTTTTTTTTTTTTTTTTTGGCTTTTTGGGTTATACCCAGTGATGCACAGGAGTTACTCCTGGCTTTGCACTCAGGATTTACCCCTGGTGGTGCTCAGGGGACCATATGAGATGCTGGGAATCGAACCCAGGTCAGCCATGTGCAAGGCAAATGCCCTACCCGCTGGACTATCCCTCCAGGCCCCATCACTAAGTTCTTTAGCTCCTTTGAGACTTCATCCCGTGGGACCTGGCTCTGTCTGTAGCATTTGGACAAATACACACTTGCTTGTGAGCACCAGAGTGCGTTGCACGGGGTTTAATCACACAATTACAACGATCAGAACTGGCCAGAGAGTGGAAATGGAAAGAGAAAGAATTTAGCTCTGAACAGCTAAAAGGATTTTTCTTTTTCTAAAGGCGTATCCAAAACAAACATCCAAAGCAGCTTATTTTATAACCTAGTTACACTGGTGATAATATTGAGGCTTTGTTTTGGCTTTGTTTCCTGGGCCACACCCAGCCAGGCTAGTGGTTACTCTTGTCCCAGTGCTCAATGGCTACTCCTCGGTCAGTGCTCAGGGGCTACTCCTGAGGCAATGCTCAGGGGCTATACCTGGTGGTGCTCCAGGAGCCACATGAGGTACCAAAATCAACCCTACCTAGGTCTCGCATATTCAAAGCATGTGCTTGGTCTGTTGAGTGATTTCTCTGGCCCGATGCCAATGTTTTATTTGGGGGGTTGGGTTTTTGGGAAGTGTATTTTGGCTTTTGGGGTCACACTTGGCAGTACTCAGGATGGGGGTTACTCCTGGCTCTGCACTCAGGAATTACTCTTGGTGGTACTCAGGGACCCGATAGGATGCTGGGGACCGAACATGGGTTGGCTGTGTGCAAGGCAAACTCCCTCACTGTTGGACTATAATTTTGGCCCCCAATGCTAATGGTTTGGATGGGCACCCTTACTGCTCCTTCAACCTCCACTAAAACAAACACCCAAGCCCTGCCACCCCGAGGACCTTCTCTTCCCACCAGCCCTTCACCTCCTCCTCCTTCCCTCTTCTCTCCCTTGGCATTCTTTTTTGTTTGGTTGGTTTGGTGGTTGTTGTGTGGGGGTCACACCCAGCGATGTTCAGGGGTTACTCCTGGCTCTGCACTCTGGAATCACTCCTGGTGGTGCTCAGGGGACCCTATGGGATGCCGGGGATTGAACCCAGGTCAGCCACATGCAAGGCAAACGCCCTCCCCACTGCACTATCGCTCCAGCCCCTACAGTTGGGTTCTGAGGAAAGACGAAATCCTGCTGCCTGCTCCCACCATGAGTGGAGACAGAGGACATGATTCCAAGTGGAGTGAGCTGGAGTGGGAAGAACAGGGAGTGATTTCTCTCCTACATGGGTTAGAGAGAAACACGGCACTGAGGGACTGGAGCGATAGCACAGCGGGGAGGGCCTTTGCCTTGCACGCGGCCGACCTGGGTTCGATTCCCGGCATCCTTTAGGCATCCCCTGAGCACCGCCAGGAGTAATTACTGAGTGCATAGCCAGGGGTAACCCCTGAGCATAGCTGGGTGTGACCCAAAAAGAAAAAAAACCAAAGATGAAAAGATAGCCTGTGGATTTGTCCATTTTGACAGTCATCTTAAAGAAAAATGCAGGGGCCGGAGTGATAGTACAGCAGCTAAGGCACTTTCCTTGCATGTGGCCAACCCAGGTTTGACGCCCATCACTTCACAGGGTTCCCTGAGCCCTGCCAGGAGTGATCCCTGTATGTAGAGCCGGGAGTCAGCTCTGAGCATCACCAGGTATAGCCCCCAAGGCAAGCAACAAAACAAACAAACCACAGCACAGGGCTGAAACCCAGGCACATGAGAGCAGCTCCCAAGAGTTGCCGCACAGAACTGATGAGCGTGGGGCCCAGCGGAAGGGGACCCAGAG